CGGACAGTTACCATGCATAAGGATAGTACTGGACGTGCAGGCTGGAGCTCTGATAAAGCACACAAGGTGCTCAAACAGGCTTTTGGAGAGAAGATTACTATGACTGTTCGTGACCGGTAAGTTGACTGTCCAGTTCAAATGGAAATTTAAGACTAGTTTTCCATTTTCTTGGGCTTTTAAGAGTCTGTGGATAAAATACTGTGTTGCAGAAGATTATCACGTTATTGATCAGCCTTATACTCTGGCAATTTTGTGTGTTGCAGATTCTTCTTAGTTTTCTTTTTAATAGCATTCTGATTTTGTATGCATCTTATTTCAAAGCTTATGAAATTTATCCTCTAAGATGTTACTTTCCTGTCTCTCTAGATCATAAAAAAATGAATGTTGGAAAAGCAAGCCGTATGGCATCTCTGGCCTTAGTTCCCAGTTTGCTGCCTAGACATCCAGCATAGGATGGACACAGTGCCAGGGTCCCTGCAGAACTCCAAGTGGAGTAGGAGTTCTAAAAACCAAATGTGGCCTTTTTGGGTGGTTATGACTCTATAGTTGTCAGGTGGGAAGATAGAATATTTTATTTAGCTGTCAGTTTATAACCTAAACATTTAGGCACATGAAGTAAGGGCCTCTATTTTTTCTTGCCCCTTAATAAGTGTTATGGGTGGATGAACCTATATCACATTGTTACAGTTAGCTTTTGGATTTTTACTCTTCGCAGTTAAACTTAGTTTTATCTAACCTTGTTTCCAGTTTCTCACACATGGTAGGTATTTTTAGTAAACATTTCGTAGATGAACACCAAATTTACTTTATATCTAAGGAAACTTTCAAAGAGTAACTTGGACCAATAGGAAGAATAAAAATTTTAATTTAATCCATTATGTTTACAGGCCCTTTGAACGGACAGTTACCATGCATAAGGATAGTACTGGACATGTTGGCTTTATCTTTAAAAATGGAAAGATAACATCCATAGTGAAAGATAGTTCTGCAGCCAGAAATGGTCTTCTCACAGAACATAACATCTGTGAAGTCAACGGGCAGAATGTCATTGGGCTGAAGGTAAGGAATAGAACTCATGTCTTGTGCTGCAGTTTTATTTTAGCAAATGTCTTTAACATTTGTCTGTTTTGGTTGTATTTTCACGTTGACCTCCAAAATAAATAGAAACTCAGTGGGGAGATGGGTGATGTGGGATCTGGGCTCTGGCTGTGCTCTCAGGCCAAAGGAATTACTTGGGCTATTTGGAATTAACATTCCTATAGCAAAGGGCTTGAGTCTGTGATCTCAGCAGTCCCTTGAACTAGAATTCTGTGGAGACATGGGCATCGAAGATTTTGATGACATTCTGAATGAATGATTGCTCAGCTTTTTCAACTTAGGAATGGTAGGAAGTGAGTAATAGTTTCTATTAGTACCTTGTTTTTTTCCTCTGCAGATTCCTAAATATGGCTATTTTAAGGTATAAAGGGTTTCATTAAGACCTGTTCATTTCATAAACTTGGTTAAGAATGCACCGTTAACTGAGGGTAGTATTGTATATGAGGAAAATTATTTCATCTTAAATAATGACAAGTTGATTTTTTGGCTAAATATTTACTCAGCAATTTTGCTTCCATCTATAAAATTGTGATTCTATAGAATTAAACTTGGTGGGAGAAACTGGAAAAAATTACACATATCAAGGGTCAGATTTTTAGAGGTCTTAGTAAAACGTAAGAGGACATACATATTTACCAAGAATAACATAGTTTCGTATTTATGAAATAAAGCCTTAGTATTAATTTTCATTACCTGTTTTCAACAGGATTCTCAAATTGCAGACATACTGTCAACATCTGAGACTGCAGTTACTATTACAATCATGCCTGCTTTTATCTTTGAACATATTATTAAACGGTAAGTAGACAGTATTTCAACTTGATGCTTACAGCCCTCTGAGTTAAAGTACAGTGCTTATATTAAGTCCCAAATCTTTGGTTCTTTTACCTAAGGGATGACGTATTTATCTAGGAATCTGAAGTTACTTATTTAGAGGAATTGGTAGGTAAGGACAATCCCTCACAACTTCCCAAGTACTGAATCAAATTCACCATACACTTCCGAAATGTTGACATTTTCTGGTTGAAAAGAAGTATATGAGCAGAAGTGGGCAGGCTTTCATTTCAGCTTTCAGTAAAATTGACTGCAGTTGCACTCTGCCTACAAGCTCCTCTGCTTCTAAGAAATCTATTCTGATGGTTCATGATGGAGAATTCTTGCCTATGGGATGTTAGGAGTAATGGTTTTTGTTCTGAGAGCATGTGAGGAGGCAGGTAGAGGTGTGTAGGGGTGTGTGGGGGGGTGCTAGGATGGGCCTTAGGAAATGAGGATTGGACAGCTGAGTAGGGGGAGCAAGTGTTTTTACCTTCCCTAGAACTTTTAAAATCCTGGCTTCTATCATAGCTGTTTTTGCCAAGCCAACTTAGATCCTTCTTTCAGAATCTATCTTGCCTGTGGAAATAAGATTTAAGAGATTAAAAACATAATACCTTAATAAAATTTTTCAGTTTCTGGGTAGAAAAAAAAGGGAACTGTTATAGTCAAGACTACTTGTTCTTGAGTTCTCTTAAACCAGTGATAGGTTCCCCCTTTCCATTTTCCTCCCAGTTCATAACAGTGTTGCCATTTTCCTTGTTTTCAGTCATCACCTTTAATATACAAGGACTTAACTTGTATCTCTAGCCAATCTACAGATGGCATTTCACACTGGGTATATTTGCAAATAACTAGATTCCCGAGACTCCTGAACTCATTAAAAAAAAAAAAAAAAAAGACCTTCCATCTCCCCCCAGGCCCACTTGATGCTAACAAGTGCTAAGTTTGAATGGGCGTTTTCTTGGATTAGCATAGTCCTTTTTGAAAAAAGAAAACCAAACCGCACTATTTAATAAAGTGACTCTCTCGTAGGATGGCACCAAGCATTATGAAAAGCCTGATGGATCACACCATTCCTGAGGTTTGAAAGTCATGGCACAATGGAAACTTCACCAAACTTCTCCAGTTTACTTCTTGGGCAACTTAACTTTATATTATGCACATGAAGCTTTCTAGGAGCCAGAGAGCATATGCTGCATGAAGACCTTTCTATCTTACATTATGGCTGGGAGTCTTACTGTTTTGATTGGATATCTTGTTCACTCTTCAAGATCATTGTAGCCTTATCCTGGTTTTACAGATGTGAAACTTTGGAGAGATTTACTGATTTTCATAGAGTAGTTTCTCTACTAGAAACCCAATGCTTTTACAAGCCATTATGATTAGAATGACTGATACAGGCTTAGCTCTGTGTTAGAACCAGTCACCTTTATCTTACATCAAGTAGTGCTGTTCATATTACTTTAGTTCTGTGGTATAATTGGGTTTTTAATGTGTTACCATAGTACATGTAGAATGACTGCTTTTGATGGTTTGTGTGTGTGTGCGTGCGTGTGTGTGTGCGCGCCTATAAAACACCAATTACGTACACTGGTTTCATTCCACGTAAGCATTATACAGTGTATGTAGGTTGCAAGAGATTGTGTTGATCATCGTTTAATTTTAACTGCCTTTACTTAATATGCTTCAACTGTCGCCTTAACTGTTAAGCATCTAGAATAAAAGCCAAAATATAACTATTGCTGCCTTTCTAAAACCCAAAATGCAGTTCTATGTTAAACTGAAATGTACACTGACCCAGAACAATTTAATGGTACATACTGAGCTATAGCATAGCTGCTTAGTTGCATTTGAGATTTTCTAGTCAATTGTGTAATGGAAATTTCTTTCTTCTAAAAGTTACCAGTATTACTTTCTGAGAAATGAATCACTATATATTAAAGGTAAAAATTCTTATACTAAATAGGATAAACTTTTGACTCCCTTTATTCATTTGTAGATTAAGTGGAATAATACCTAATTTTGTCATTTACTCTTAACATTCTGTAATCTAGCTACTTTGGGATGGTCTTAGGATGTTTCCCAGGTCATTTGTTCCATTTCATTTCCTGATCCCTCCCTGCAAACAAAATGGCAGTGACACTTTATCCTGATTTTTTTTTTTCTTTTTGGTTTATGCCTATTCCATCTTAATTAAATATGTATAAGTAAAGTGGACTTTTAGTCTGTTGCATCATTTGGAAACTGTCCGTGCCTTTCACCAAACTTGCTCATGACTTAGAGCAGGCGGGTGAAGTTCACACCTTGGGCCTGCGACAGTTGTCTCCCAGAGCAGCGGGCACCCAGAGGCCCTGAGAAAAGCCCTCTGTGCCAAGAGAGTAGGCGTGTCAGGAAGAGTGTTTCCACCTGTGAACCGCAGATGGCCCACCTGCCCTGCACACTTCAGGATGAGCAACAGGAACTCAAACGGAGGCCACGGATGCTCCCTGCAACACCTGAGACCAAGTTGCTTAAAACTGACTTTGAAAACTGTTACCCTGGGTTGTTTTTACCCCATGTCATACAGCCTACAAGATAAAACCCCCCTACAGTCTTTAAAAACATTGTCATAATATAAAAGGAAGGCAGTAGTGTGGCTTTACAGCTTACCTTGTTGAAATTTGGAAAAGCAAACCGAACGTTTCCCGGTTTTACCTACCTTGTTACCTACATTTGGGTCTAAGGATGGTTCCAAAAATGTAAGAATGAATGAGATTCACATCACTAAGTGTGGTTTTCCAAAAGGATCAATAGTTGAAGTTCTTAAAAGGTACTAGTCTTGGTAATCATTTAAATAAGAAAACGAAAACTGCTTTCATTACAGAAAAATATTTTTAATGTAGAAAAGATGAGCATTTGATAGCTATAATGAAATAAAGTGTTCCTATACACAGTAAACTTACTTACTGTTACAAGAATTGCTAATCTTTCCCCAGGTTCTTAGAATCTGAGGACAGTAGGTTATACAAAGTAACCACTCCAAAAAAACACATACCCCCAAACCCAATAGGCAGCATTTCTGTAGGTTAGGAAAACAAAATAGAGTGACTCAGAAGTAGGAGAGAATACTGCACGTTTTCTTGGAAAATTCAAAATTGTTCAGTGTTTTCTGAAAGTTTTCCCATCTCAGTTTAGTAATCTCTTACCTACTTTGCCACCCAAACCTGCCTTCTGACCATCAGCATACTGGGATGACCATCTGCCTTACAAATGTAATGTTTTTTCCCTAACACTGCCATATCTTTGTCTGCCTTAAGAGGACGGCAACTAATGGCTTTCAATGAAGTCGCCATGATTTAGGAAGTTTAAAACCACAAATGTCTCGTGGTAAAACTTCTCATTACTATCATTGCACATTCACCAGTTCATTTAAAAGTCTGGTTTAAAAATACATTAAATAGAGTTCAATTTAACATTCAAGAGAGGAAAAGGCACTTAATACTGCAATTTCCAGAACATAATTTGTCTGTCTTCCCCTCCCGTGATGATACTGCTACACTGTTCATTCATCCATATACATGTTACAGCACCTAGGAGAAAGAGACTGGTGGTTAGGTAGTAAGTTGACCAGGGGTCCCCCAAAAGGTACTCTCAAGTACCATGTTGTCTTCTCTCATCCTGTAATTGCGGTATAAATTAAAGATTTAACTGCTTAGTACAAGGAACTTGTGAGGAATAAAACCACTTAAATGTAAACCTAGAAAAACGGGATGCAAACAGCTATTCCTACAGATAGTGGTCAGGACACGGATGAGAGAAGAAAGTAGGGAACTGGTGGAAGTCTACTGGAAGGAGTCAAATGTTACTCAAAGCCAGTAAGTTGAGGATGACCTAAACAGATCACTTTATAATGTTAAGAAATAACCATATAACTGAGCGACAGAGGGAAGAGAATGAAGGGGGCAGTTACTGGTCACAGTGTAAAATAAATAGATAATTATAACCATAGATACTAGAAGAATTAAAAACCATAAATCTTCCAGATGATCAGGAGACAACCATGCAAATGGAAGCAAATACAGTGAATGTTCACGAGATACTAAGTGGGAAAAAAAGAAAAAAAAACGGGCAGAATAGTTAATATGCCTACAACCTACCCTTCCAATCATAAGAGGGCACACCTCCAGGACACAGGAATGAGTCCAGGGAGGAGAACAGTGGGGGTGGGGTGGGGTCAGTGGTGGGAGGAAGATTGTTTTCATTGTAATTCATTATTTTTGTGTTGTTTTTGGGTATCTTTAAAACTATGTGCATGTATTTTTAAAACAATGATTTCAGCTTTCACTATGGTTTTTAATTCTCCACATGGAAGTTATTGTGCAAACTTCCTTTTTGGAGTCAAATGTCTGTCAACATCAATCAGAGATGCAGATCACCTGGCCCACCAAGATGCTGGAGGGGAACATTGACAGTGTGGAGGGAAATGGTGTGTTTTCTGCCTGGGAAGAGTATGTTTCCTGATGGGAAAAGCAGGTTTGAGTTCAGCATTTTACGAAGAAAGGTGAAGTCAACTGCATTAACTGCTTACCTGTGTGGCCCTGTATTCTCTCACTGATTTTTCCTCCGAGCAGGTCCCAAACGAGCAGCTCACCGGACTGACTTCCAGATAAAACAGAATTTCCATCCCAGATAAAGCATCTGCAAGCATGATTTAGAAATAATCATCTGATCAGTCCTCATGAAGGAGGGGCTGTGTTACCCTAGCCAGAGGAAGCCCAAACGACAGGATCCTGAACTTGCTGGTACATGTCTTTCCCCACTAGTAACTCAAAAAATATACCTCTGGGGCTCGTCTGAAGTCATAGAAGAGATGAGCATTCCTGTCTGCACATCTATGACGTTTAGACAGCCATCTTCCCCCGTGCTGAGGACGTGACGACTGTCTGTAACGAGGTGAAACTGCTTCAGAAGTCTGTTGTAGGTTATTCTGACATTTTATCTCTGGCATAACGTTCACTTTCATGCTCCTCGAGCTACTTGTATTGAACCGAGGATTCTCCTCTCCTTGCAATGCTTCTAAGACACTGGGCCGGTGACCCTTTGGTGTGAGTTCATTTGCATCTTACAACTTAATTTCTCTGGTGAGAGGTCAAATGAAGAACAGTGTCCACTACAGCTTTTCTGTGGGTGCAAATGGCACGAGGATACCATACTGTGCCATGAGGCAGCCTCAGATATAGGCAACACTTTTATTGGCAGACTGTTTTCCTTTTTACATTCTCGTTTATTTTAAAGTAATAATTCCGATTCCCCCAGTTATCATCTGTATTAAAAAGGATCACACTACCTGGGCTAAAAGCAGTGTCACATACGGTCCCTGAATGGCATGGGATCTGGTGCAATACAGTGGCTGTAGTGAGGTCCCAAATAGTCACTGTGCCTTCTTTGGTGCCTGAAACCAACAGTGTACTTGCAGCATTTAAACTAATTGTATCTACCTAAGGAAGAAAACACAAAGTATTCCATTTAGAATTTCGGTCATTAGCGGTTTCCCTAGGCTGACTCCACTGTCGGGACCAGGACCCGATAAAAGTTAACCTCAGCAGCACGGTGTACTGATGTGGCTAATGCAGATGTGTTTCAACATCGCCTAGTGAATTATGTAAAAATGAAATTCTTCATATGCTAGTGAATAAAATGAAATACTGGTAGGGTAAATGTAATGCTGGATTTTTTTTTAAGATTTATTAATGTTTAGAGAGCGTGTGCGAGAGCGAGTGGGGGGAGGGGCAGAGGGAGAGAATTTTCAAGCAGACTCCCCGCTGAGCGTGGAGCTGGGCATGGGGCTCGATCCCACAACCCATGAGACCACGACCTGAGCCAGGAGGTGGAGGCTTAACTGACTGAGCCACCCAGGTGCCCCATTTGCTGTTTTAAAACAGCCTGAAATTGGCACGATTCCGAATGATGCCTCTGTGAGTTCTAAATCGTACCACGGTGCCAAGCGGTCTGAAGCACTGCTGAGCCATGATTACTGGAGGGCGCTGGGAGAAGGCGGGGAGCTCTCAAGGCTGTGTTTGCATGCGCCCTGGGAGTTACAGACTGCAT